ACAGGTCTCTAACAGGTCTACAAAGGGTCAATAACAGGTCTATAACAAATCTCTAACAGGTCTCTAACAGGTCTAAAAAGGGTCAATAACAGGTCTATAACAGGTCTCTAACAGGTCTATAACAGGTCTACAACGGGTCAATAACAGGCCTATAACAGGTCTACAACAGGTCAATAACAGGTCTATAACAAATCTCTAACAGGTCTCTAACATGTCTATAACAGGTCTACAACGGGTCAATAACAGGTCTACTAACAGGTCTACAACGGGTCAATAACAGGTCTACTAACAGGTCTATAACAAATCTCTAACAGGTCTATAACAAATCTCAAACAGGTCTATAACAGGTCTATAACAGGTCTATAACAGGTCTATAACAAATCTCAAACAGGTCTATAACAGGTCTATAACAGGTCTCTAAAAGGTCTATAACAGGTCTATAACAGGTCTATAACAGGTGTACAACAGGTCTATAATAGGTCTATAAAAGGTTTATAACAAATCTCAAACAGGTCTATAACAGGTCTCTAACATGTCTATAACAGGTCTCTAACATGTCAATAACATGTCTATAACAGGTCTCTAACATGTCAATAACATTATAACAGGTCTCTAACAGGTCTCTAACATGTCAATAACAGATCTCTAACAGGTCTATAACATGTCTATAACAGGTCTATAACAGGTCTATGACATGTCTATAACAGGTCTATACAGGTTCCCTTTATCTTCTCTGTAAGACCAAAACAGTATTTAATGCTTTTATAGCTTTGCTTATGTGTCCATGTTCCACAGCTGCTCCTCTCTGGCCGGAGCCTTCAGCTGCTGAACGTTGATGCTGTCAGGCTCACGTCAGCTGATGTTCTTGTTGACGTGCTCGTTTTGTGAAGTGTAGAAGAAGAAATCCTTAGAAGGGTGTGAATAGAAAAACACAAGACGTTATATATCCTGATGCATGCTCAATAATCCAGGTAGAAATATCTAACAAAGTTATGTCAGGTCCTCTAGACAGATTAAAAATAAAATAAATAAAAATACTTAACATGTTGAAAGTTACAATAAAATGTGAATACACAATTATAAAATGAAAGAATATAAAAGAATATTAGAATTGTGAAATACTCACAGGGATTTTTTTTCTTTTGTCTCTGGGTTTGATGATAAATTTCTTGAAGGTGAAAAACAATTTGCTGATTTCAGTCCATGAAAATTGTTTTTTCAGGGGTCAGCCAGAAAAGAAAGTGTCAATCACACATATTTACCAGCTGAGTGCAGACAGACGTTTACACAGTGTGTGTTTTAGTAGAATCAAGGGAAATAGGTCAATGGCCTCTAAAAAAAATCCACAGGGTCAAATGTGTTATTTAAATCTTGAGTTAGAGAAGGTAAAAGCATCAGGGGTTAATGACTGATATTTCACTACCCCTGTGTGGCGTCCTCAACCGTGTGTAAGTCTAAATCCTCAGTGTCAAATGTCAACATCAAAACTCTGTGTTTTATCTGTCCTCTTTCATAAATGTGACACCCAGTGACTCCCAGCCAGTCTTGTCCTGAGCCTCAAAGTATTTGACACCAGACAGCCGAAGGTCCCGAGCAGTCTTTAGATACTCATGTCTTCTATACAGGTCTCTAACAGGTAACTGATACAAAAATATCAAGAGAATAAATAAAATGATAAATTAATTTTCAATTGCAAAAGTTTGGGATATTGTAAAATTTTTTTAAATAAATTTAAAATACAAAGATTTGTAAATCTCATTAAGTTTTATTCATAGGGAACATATCAGACGTTCAAATGAAGAAACCGGTTTATTTTTAGGGAACAACATGGTGACGTTTGATGGCAGCCACACTTTTAAATGATGAGCCGACAGCTCCATGTTTGCCACTGAAGCATCTCTTGGTCCTTCAACAACAGTCTGTGAACGTCTGAGGAGACCAGCTGCTGGAGGTTTTTGTCCCATTCTTTAATGTAAGAATCCAGCTGTTCAACAGTCCTGGGTCTTCGTTGTGCAAATTTTTTGTTTCCTGATGCTCCAGATGTTTTCATCTGGTGAGGACTGTCAGATCAGTTCAGCACCTGGACTCTTCTACAATGAAGCTGTTGCACTGAATACAGAATGCAGTTTAGTACTGTCTTGCTGAAATATGTACGGCCTTACTTAAAATACATGATCTGGGTGGGACCGTATGCTGTTATAGAAACCTATATACACTTTCCTGCCCTTCTGGTGCCTTTCCAGATGTGTAGGCCACACATGGCACATACTAATGCACCCTTATACCATCATAGAAGCAGGCATTTTGAATTGAGCAATGATACAGCTCAGATGGCCCCTCTCCACTGTAGTACAGAGGATATAGCATCCATCCATCCATCCATCCATCCATCCATCCATCCATCCATTTTCTATACCCGCTTATTCCATTTTGGGTCACGGGGGTCGCTGGTGCCCATGTCCAGCAATCACTGTGCGAGGGGCGGGGTACACCCTGGACGGGTCGCAAGTCCATCACAGGGACACATAGAGACAAACGAGACAAACAACCATTCACTCTCTCATTCACACCTAGGGACAATTTAGAGTTACCAATCAGCCTAACATGCATGTTTTTGGTCTGTGGGAGGAAACCGGAGTACCCGGAGAAAACCCACGCATGCACGGAGAGAACATGCAAACTCCACCCAGAAAGGCCCCTGGACCGGGGTTTGAACCAGGGACCTGCTCGCTGAGAGGCAGCAGCTCTACCAGTTGCGCCACCGTGCTGCCCGGATATAGCATCCATTGTTTAAAAAAAATGCTAATTTTGATTTTTTTTTGTACCACGGCAGATTTCCTTTTTGCTTCAGTTTATTTTAAATGAGCTTACTAGATGGTGTTTATACATGGCTTCATCTTTGCATGATAGAGCTTGAACTCATTTGTGGATGTCACAGTGAACTGTGTTTACAGATGATGATTTGTGGTTCCTGAGTCCACATAGTGATTTCCAGAACAGGACCTGTTTTAATGCAGTGCTGCCTGAGGGCCAGAAGCTCACGAGCATCCAGTGTTGACTTTCAGCCTTGTCTTTTGAACCCAGAGATTTCTGCAGAATTTTAAAGTTGCTCTTTGACAATGTGATCTGTAGATGGATTTTCAACAAAGAACATTATTTGGACATCGATCAATGCAGTTCTTTTTCACAGACTGGAAAACTTCTGCTCATCTTTAATTCTGAGAGCTTCAGCCTCTCTAAAATGCTCTTTTTATACCCATTCCTGACCTGTGGTGAATTAACCTAATTATACTTGCAAAACATTCACACAGTTTCCTTATTTGTACTGCTTCCCTTTTACTGTTGACTTTTTTTCTAGATATGTTGCTATCAAATTCAGATTATTCTAAAAAAAAAAAAGTGATACATCATCATGGAACATCTGAAATATTTACTTGCTCTACTGTAAACAATGTACAGGTTTATACCATCAAATTAAAATGTTTAATTACGTTTTACACTACAATCCTAACTTTTCTGAATTTCAGCTTGTTGACCTCAGAAACAACTTTTTAAAAAATAATCTCACAAATGAAATTCATTTAAAGTGAACTTTTTCAACAATCTTTGGCCTCTGATTGGCACCTCATGCTTTGATTGGGTGGAGAACAACAGGAAGACAGTTGCTGCAGGGCAGTAAATGCTTTCAGACAGAATGTCCTCCTTCACCTGCAGGAAGAAGAGCTTCTTGGTTACAGTTGGGATCAGCTCTTTATGGACGGCCTCAAGTGGGGCTGAGAGGGTGCAGAGGTAGGGCAGCCAAACTGGGACCAGAATGTCGCAGGCTCAACTCCCTGCCATCCCCACAAGTTGTGGTGTCCATGAGCAAGACACCCAATCCCTAACTGCTCCCCGAGCACCTGTATAGCTGCCCACTGCTCCACCTGGGTGTGTCTCACGTGTGATGGGTTAAATGCAGAGAACTCATTTCATCATTTGTAGAAACATATGATGATGACAACACATAGCACTTCAGGCTAAAATCTGACCCTGAACTTGAACTGCAAGAGTCTTTTCCTTCAGCTCCTGAGAGAAACCCTGCACAAAATATTTAAATATCAAATATTTCAAATGATGAAGATAAAATTACCTTAAATAATTGAGTTAGATAATTTGACAATAATTTAATTTTAATTACAGCAATCTTAAAGCTCTGTGGTACGTAACCATTCATAAGAGATAAATTAGGCACAGATCCAAAATGTGGATGTTAATTAAGGCAAATTCCTCTTTAAACAGTCTGGTTGTGATGGGATATAGCAGACATGTCGACAGTTTGGATGAAGCTATTATTTTTGACAATACAGAGAGCTCATTAGGACAAAAACAGTCCAAACATAAATCAGGTTCTAGTGAAATTTTTAAAGTTGTCTCACTGACAGGAAACCAGAAGCAATAGTAGAATGGTTTGAATTCTCTCTCTAATTGAAATAATTTTATATATAAAGCATCTCATGTCATCACTGCTTATAGTTGTAGTACATGGTTCAACAGAGATAGGATTTTTCATTAGACTAGCTATTGTACTGAAAAGGAACCTGGGGTTATTTTTATTCTCATCCATTGAAGATGAACAATATACAGTTCTACCTTCATGAATAGCTTTCTTATATGTTAGCAGGCTGTCTCTCCAAGAAAAATACAATTCTTCCACATTAGTGGAGTGCCATTTTCTTTCCAGCTTTCTAAATGCCTATTTTAAAGTACGTACATCAGAATTGAACTAAGGAGCCAGTCTCCTCTGATTGATTACTTTTTTTTTTTTCAGAGGAAAACACAAAGCTATAAAACCCCAGACAGGTTATTTATGGTATTCATTCAACCTTTATACAGTTAAGTCTCATTGAGTCAGGAGGAGAGACCTGTTTTAAACAAAAAAAACATAAATGAGGTACACACAATAAACATGAAAGCATACAAAATGAAAAGTATATAAAAGAAGTGATGTAAAACAAAATGTTTAAAACATGCTACACTTTAAACCGGTGTAAGTACTAAAAACAGGAACATGTCTGCGTAGATTTGGTATAACAAGTCGCAGGATGTAACAGATATTCTGACACCAGCATAATTTGTGATTAAAAACTCAAATGAAGCATTGGAAAAAGATGAAAAAAAAAAAAAAAAACTTTTATTTTACGATACCAAAACAAAAAAACAAAACACTGCCAGAGATGCCAAACATTAGTTTTTAAATAGATGTTTTTTTTTATTGAGTGATGCACCATGTATTTTACCTTATTTGTTCCCAGCTTTACACCTAAAATAACAAAAAATCCAACAAACTAAAACAGCACCAGTCCAGTACCAGCAGCACAAGTAGCACCTTGCACCAGAAGTCTTTATTTTGCAGGTGTTCATGTTCCTAAATGCAATCGGAGAACAGTAGAGGACACCACAGACAAACGAATACACAGCAGGCATGAGATGATAGGTTCAAAACTGTGATGAACCTGTTGTTGCATCATATGAAGGATAGAGCTTCATTCTGTAAAATAATGGCCCAAATTATATTTCAGCCATCAGAAGTTGTCCAAAAAACTTACAGAGATGAAAACTCAAAGATTCAAGCACCGAAACTGACGTATGAAACCTCTGTAGAGTGACAAATGTCATAATGGTAATGGTTTTAAAACCTAATAACACAACAAAAAAAGCAATATTTGGTACCCAGTACAACTCTAAGAGCTCACACAGGTTCTGGTAAACTTTGTGTTCAACCAAAAAAGCTTTTATTTTGTCCATTTATGTGCAAGTATTAAAATCTATGATCTTGATTCCGGTCAAATACAGAAAAAAAAAAAACCAGGAGGCTCATTTATGCAAAGACTTTTAAAAACCATGTTGAAAAGGATGATGAAGCTAGAACTCATCTTTGATCTGAAAGTGAGGCTGGTCTTCTGGTTTGAAGTCTTCATTGGGGCTTCCGTCTTGGTTGAGGATCCGTGCAGCGGTGTAACCCACAATTGGATACTTGGCTTTGTAAGTGCCTTCAAATATATTATTTAAAGACTTCAGCTGCTCATCTGTGAGGCCTGCCTGTGGACATGAAGATAAAAACAGGAGCTTCGATTAGGGATTTAAATTAGTCCAGTCCAATTAGTGAGCTCACCACTGACCATTGATTCCACCTTATAACCCTTTCAAAATAAACCACGAGCACTACTGGAAAACAACTTGGTGTGTTGACTTTTTAAAACCATCTCTCCCATTCAACTTTGCTAATCTGTGTACATTTATTGCGTACTGTGAATTACGTTGTAGGATTTCTTGCTGCTAAAGATGTAACACAATCTTTCAAACAAAAGAGGTATCAAATATCAGTATTTTCTACCCCCACAAACCAAAACACAGATGGGGTGTGAAAAGGTGGAACCTGGAGGATGCACAGACTGAACTCACAGTGTCTGGAGTCAGGTCTGCTGGGTCCAGGGACATCTTGGCCACGGCTCGAGTGGAGTCCTTTCCAACCAGGGCGTTATAAGGAGCACTGTGTCCATAAAACTCTGGAAACAATGAATAAACAGGAACACTGTATGAGCACACAGATAACTGGTAAGGGCTCAGAAAAAGGTTTAAGAAGCATTTGGGAGGGGTTATATTATAATTATTGTTTTCAATATAAGCATTAAGTGCACTTTGAACCACTTTTACCTATGTTGAAAATGGTCAAATACCTTTTCCTTTAGTGACATCAAACACCACACCTTTTACTGCCATGTAAATAGGCTGCCCCTCCTAAACACGAAGGGAAACCAACAATGAATGGCTGTTGTGACCAGCAGCACCGTTGTAACCAGGTTGTTTACCTCGCTGCCGTCGTACCTCTTCAGCTCCTCCTCGGTGAACAGTCGCACTGGTTTTGTTGCTGCTTTGTATTTTAATTTGACATCATCTGCTAAAGTCACAGACAGGAGGATTACCAGGACAAAAGGTCGCGCTGTTGCCATCACAGAAACTTTGTTGGGATCTGATCAAAGCGGAAACTCTCCGAGCTTCTTTTTCTTCTTCTTCGCTGCCTGTCTAGGAACTCCTCCTGCTGCATTTATGAACCCTCGGAAATTTAAGACTTCAGCTCGTCTTGCTTTGATATTTTTTTCTCTTTTTGTGACGCCGGTGGGTTTCGCATCTCACAGTGGTTGTTTTAGTTATATTATCTTCGTATCTATCATCAGTATAAAATTTGTTTTATCTCTTTTTAATTGTTTTACACTATTAAACAGAAACTTTGTAACTTTGTTGTTTAAACAACAAAGTCCATGCTCAATCCAGGTATACAATCCAACATTTTTCAGTCAGGTCATCTGGACAGTTTCTTTTTTTTGTAAAACAAAACAAACAAACAAACAAACAAACAAAAGAAACTGTCCAGATGACCTGACTGAAAAATGTTGGTTTGTTGTTTAAACTACTAAAAATAAAGTTTCCAGCTGTTTGTCAATGGCTTAGAAAGTCCTACTTGTATTTTTAACTAATCAGTTTTATAAGTGGTTTACTTTTAATTTTAACGAACCAAACTAAACAAAAAACCACAAGTTGAAAAAGTGATTTATTATTTGGTGAATTTCCTGAGTACAGTAATGAAAACACACATAAACTGTCAGAAAAACAAAGAAACAAAAACACTTTGCTACTTTTAATGCTGCAATGCAGTTTATTTAAAATTGAGTCTTTTTTAAAACGTGACAGGGAGATCTCTGTAACAGAACATTAAAAAAAGTCAAAGTCGATTCGTGTCATCATTTTTGCAACTTTTGAAACGAAATTAATGTTTTTCTTATTTTTTTTTAACCAACCCTCATGAAATAATGCCATAAAAACACATTTAAACATCGTAACAATTAATTAACAATTAAAACAACATAGTTGATGCACAGAATATATATAAAACTTTAGATGCTTTAATTAGCAGTTCTCAAAATTTTTGTTTTGTGCTTAAACCTCTGTAGGACAATTGTTTTTAGGAAGTTTTTACTTGTGTTATGGCTTGTGTTGGGCAACGCTAAATGTTCCCGTGATTTCCTGAATGCAGCACATGGATGATACAACAGGCCCACTTCAGGGGAACCCGGAAATTTTGCTTTTTTATTTTTTGGACCTTCATCGTCGGCGCCAAGCGCCCCCGGGTTAACTCTTGGGTCTTCCTCCTGAGAAGCAGGACCCCAGCGGACTTCAAACAAAATGGCATTTTATTTAAGAATACACGAAACATGTTAAAGTTGTTTTCTGACTTCGCTGAAACAGTGTTTGGAGTAAAAGAAGCGCTCGGGAATGCCCGGAAAGGAAAACAGCCTGTCCTATGAAGAGGTGATCTTTACACTTCCCTTTAGTTTGAATTGGTCTAATCTGTAAACAGTTTCTGTCAATAACAACACTTTTTTGTGTTTAGTGGGACTTCCTCTCAGGAACGTCACGTGACCAGGCGGATAAGAAATGTTTAAATCAGCAGTTTTTGGTGTCTTTGTGGCTTTGATCGCCCTGTTGAGGCTGTTATTGCCTTGCAGCTGTTGGGCTGATGTTTTTCAGCTGACTATAATTCAACACTGCAGTCATCTGGGAAGACAGCTTGATTAACTTTGTTGTGCGTCTATCACCTCTCGTTTAATGCGTTTAAACATCAACACACTGTAACTGAAAGTTTACATTGTTGTTTTCAAAAAGTGAAATGTGTGAGAATGTTGTATTTTTTCCCCCACTGCAGAATAAATAATAAAACTAGACTAAATGAATTTTACAGTGCTGTAACTATATATTTATAATAGAAGTACAGTACAACACAAAACCAATATATTCATTATATTACTCTATGACATGTACTTTACTAATATTTATAATAATATAATTCATTTGTGGGCACACAATCTACTGTAGTTACTTCAATGAACGTCATAAGTAATTATGGTGTGTTTTTTTTTTTTCTTATACCTACTTACAGAGACTACACAGCTTTCTCTGCTGTGGAATTAAAATACTACATTATTCTGCATGGTCTTTTTCAGTTTGGCTGCTACCAAATGCAGAGGCCAATAAGGGCTGAAAATGATGTAACACTTCAACTTGGATTATGTTTAATGTCATATTTATTCACGACAAGACATTTACTCTAACACAATGACAACACTCAAACAGTACAAATTTGTACATTTTCACAAATCTAAACTCAACAGCGCGCATGACGTCATAACGTTGTGCTGGTGCTGCAGGCATCCTTGTCACTGGGTTGTCATACAAAAACAGTGCCATATATATA